GGGGCGCGCGCTTGAGAGAAGACTAGAGTTAAGGCCTGAATAAACCGTTGAAAGAAGGATCCTGTGTCGTGTCTTCCTTGCTGGCGAGGGGGTCGCGACAGGGCAGTGTCTAAATTCTCTGCCTTCTGCCTCCTTCTAGGGCAAGAAACCCTTGGGGGTCATTTCCTATTTCTCAGCAAAGGACTGAAACACAGGAGCATGGCTTTCGCCGTCTGAACGCTCCTTGGCCTGTAGACCACCACCAAGTTGATTGGCATGTAGCATGGGCTTCGTGGGCCAGGCACAGGGGCCAAGCACTTTACAGATGGGTTTGCGTCGGTCCTGGCAGCATCGCACGAGGGGGACACGCACAGACCTCAGGGCTCACAGGTAAGTACCCAGAGTGAGAATTCCAGGGGGCTCAGAGACGGCTCTGCCCAGCCCAGGGCTGCCCTGCGCCCGCGCACTCCTGGGGCCCCTGGGACGGCGCGCGCTCACCATGCCTCCGGTGCTCTCGCGGCAGTCCTGCAGGCAGCCAACATTCTCCCAGGTGCTGTAGGCCTTCAGCCCCGCCACCAGGGCCTGCAGCACGCGGCTGCTGACCAGCTCCTTCCCTTGGAAAATGTCCTCATCCAGAAGGGCCCCCGCGTACCTGCCAGATAGAGCAGAGAGGTGTGATGGACGTCCTGGTGCCGCCAGCCACGGGAAGGGGCGCGTCCAGGGACATCAGAACGCTAGGGTCACCACCCAAGGCTTCCCATGCCCTTCAGAGGTGCCCTTGTACCACAGCAAAGCTGCAGCCAGGAGTCTCCCACACACCATTCTCCCTTGGAAAATGTCTCCTTCACGCCCTGCCCAGCTGCTTTCCCACCAGTCCAGTCACAGGCCTCCTTCACAGGGGCCCCTGTCCCAGCGTGATGCTGCTTCTCTTTTTCTTTGAGTCTACAGCACAGGGTCGCACTCCAGGTCACTCTCTCCTGCCCACCACACAGTGCACACATTGGTACAACCACTTTGGAGAGCAGTAAGGAGGTTCCTAAAAAGGCTAGGAATGGAATCGCCACGTGACCAAGCTGTCCCACTCCCTGGCACTTATTTTAAGGGCTGCCTTCTTTCTGAAAGCTCTGGGCAGAATCCCTTCGTTACCTACCTTAGCTCCTGGCGGCCACCTTCTGTGACTTTCCTTCTCCTTCTGTCTTCGAGGTCACTACACCCACCTGCCCTCCCATGCTGCCTCACTTCCACTAGGTGAGGAGGTGAGGAACCCCTGGAAGCCTTGTCACTCCTTCTTAGCCTCCTCTCATGTACAAGGAGCCCTGTGACTACACGGGACCCACCTCTATTACCCATCAAGGTCCTCAATTCAATTGTATCTCCAAGTCTGTTTTCCCCTGTGAGGTGCCATATTCACAGGTTTAGGGCTTCAGATGCGGACATCTTTGGGGCCATCATTCTGGCCAGCACACAGTCCATTTCAGAACTCCCAGCAGGAACAGAATTAAAACATGAGAATCATGAACAACTCGTGACACTTTGTATGTGGAGGGCGAAGTTGCTTAAGGCCTTGCTAAGTGGCTGAGGCTGGCTTTGAACTTGTGATCCTCCTGTCTCAGTCTCCTGCCATTTCTCTGGAGTAAACATGTAGAAGTGAAATAGGCAGGTCATATGGCAGCTGCATTTTAACTTTTGAAGAAACTGCCACACCACTGTTCATATCAGTTGTGTGATTTTTCCTTCCCACCTGCAGCTCATGAGAATCCCAGTTGCTCCCATCCCTGACAACGGTTGGCTTTGTGTCTTTTTAGTGTTAGTCCTTCTAGCAGTACAAAATTGTATTTCCTTGGTTTTGAAGTTGCATTTCCCTTTTGATTAATGATCATGACCAGATTCTCCTGTGTCTGCACCTGATCATTCATTTATCTTCCTTTCCTGTCTGCTTAATTCCTATTGGCTTGCTCATCCTTTTTCTTTTCTTTTTTCTTTTTTTTTTTTAACCAGGGATTGAACTCAGGGGCACTCGACCACTGAGCCCCATCCCCAGCCCTATTTTGTATTTTATGTACAGACAGGGTCTCACTGAGTTGTTTAGGGCCTTGCTTTTGCTGAGGCTGGCTTTGCACTCGTGATCCTCCTGTCTCGGCCTCTGGAGCCACTGGGATGACAGGCGTGTGCCACCACACCCGGCTCATTCTATTTTTAATTGACTAGCTTCTTTGTATGTTCTGGCTAGCAGTCCATTGGTGGATGTATGTATTGCAAACATTTTCTCCCATCTGTGGCTTGCCTTTTTATTTCCTTAAAGACAGAAGTCAATTTGGGCTCAAAGTATTGACTTTCATCCATCCATAGAAAATTTTCTAGAGTCTGAACATCCTGTTTCTCCAATGAAACCTACACAGCAAAAGATACTACACGGAGCCAAGTCCTACAGCAAAGAGCAAAGGCTTCTGTGTTTCAACCACAGAACACAGAAATCAAACTGGAGCAAACTGACAAGATGCATTTCAGGGTGCATGACGAAGGCAGACAGAATCTCTCTAAAGCCATGAAGTCAACAAGAGGGTTGGATTCTATTAACCAGCACTTGGATGAAAAAAACTTAATGCATTAAGCAACTAAAAAGGGCTTATGCATTGTCATTTAGCTTGGTCCTTACAACAGTCCTATGAAATAGGATATCACAACCCCATTTTACATTCAAGGGAGCCAACATTCTCCCAGGTGCTGTAGGCCTTCAGCCCCACCATTAAATCCAACGAGAGGGTTGGATTTAATTTATATAACCTAGGTTGTATACTTAACATATATTAGGGCAGAGAGAGGATTTTAACCCAGTGTGCCCTCTTGTCCTAAATAATGTGCTCTTTGGAGGTGGGGCTGCAGCCCCGTGGCAGAGCACTTGCCTAGCATGTGTGAGGCATTGGGTTGAATTCTCAGCACCACATATAGATAAATAAAATAAATAACAGGCTCTTTTCATTCTAAACAACATGACTGTCAGTGACCCCAATCAAATTCATACAGTTTAATCTATGCTATGGTATCACTACTCTTTCCTTGGTCTGTGACTTGACTCAATCTGCCGGGCAAATGTCCTGCTACAGAAGCCTTCATCTGCCAGACAGACAGGTGCACTGGCTACCTCTGACTCCTTGTTGGACCCTTGTGTGTGTTTGAAAGAGAGTCTCAGAAGCTTCTCTGTTCAGGGTGTCAGAGTTCAGGAGGAGTGTGTCTGAAGAAATCTGCAACAGAAGGCTCAGACTGGTCCAAAAGCTAAATTAGGAAATAAAGATCCCTGTGGCAAGTTTACTCCTCATTGGTAAGCCCTTCTATTTAATAGGTGAGGTCTTTAGACACACCAGGTACCTGTTTAGAAGTTACATCCACTCAAACAACAGGTGAAGAGAAAATAAGTGCAGATCCCCTACCACAGAAGGGTACAGGAGGAAGGTGGACAGTCTCTCAGAAGCCACAAAGTCAACAAGAGGGTTGGATTTAATTTACAAGTTATTTTGCATAAAAAGATCAGATAAGATTTTTCAGCAGTGACACATGGGAATTGCATTCTTAACAGCGCAGTGTGGTCCTGGTGGCGTGGCGGGATGAAGGGTGTCTAAGGTGCTCAGCTACCCTGATTCCATTTACCCATGAAGACAGAACACAGGTGAGTTTCTGCAGACTGAGGAGTGTCATTCCACCCATTCATCAATTTAACAAATGCCAATGAGTCCTCACTTTGTGCAAGGCACACATCTATCTAGGTACTGTAAAAACATCAATTAAAAACAGAGAGCCGGGCACGGTAGCACATGTCTATAATCCCAGTGGCTTGAGAGGCTGAGGCAGGAGGATCATGAGTTTAAAGCCAGCCTCAGCAAAAAGGCAGGTGCTAAGCAACTCAGTGAGACCCTGTCTCTAAATAAGATTTAAAAAAGAGCTGGGGATGTGGCTCAGTGGCCAAGTGGCCCTGAGTGTAATACTCAGTATGCACCAAGAATTCTAAAAATTCAAAATAAAAAAGACTGGGGATGTGGCTCAGTGGTTAAACACCCCTAATCCCCAGTAAACCTCCTCCCCCCCCCAAAAAAAAAAAAAAACAAAACAAAACAGTGAAACAGAGAGAAATCTCTGCCCATTGAGTTGCCTTGAGACATTAATGAGTTACTACATATAAAATGGTAGAACAGGGCCTGTTACGTGGCAAACACTTGAATATGTGTCAGCTACTATCTTAATGTTATCCTTACAGGTATTGGGTAGGAAGAATGCCTAGAGGATGACTAAAGCCAGCTGAATCTCAGAGGTACAGATGGTGCTGTGGCCCCTCCTGGCCTGGAACCCAGCCTGGACTGCCTGAGCTGCCCATGTGGCCAGGAATAAATAAAAGGCAGACCTAAAATAATCTTTTGGACTGATGCACTACAAAATCAATGTTTTAAAAAGTTGTTAATCATTTTCTAAACTAGGAATTTCATTTCTGTAGCAAATTCCCTGGCCAGTACTTCCAGACTCCTTTACAACAGGAAAGAATAGTCAACGTGCGAAACTCTAACCAGCGCCGTGGCCAAGTGTGATGTCATTGCGCAAGGTCGTCTCACTGCTTTTCTTGAAACAATGTGTGCAGAGAGCCAGGCCCTACTAGATGTGAACATGCCAAATTAAGGACCAGAGGTCTCCACCTCAAACCAAGAGTAGTAGTGGGACAGTAAGAGGGGCCCAGGTTGCTGACCCAAGGAGCTTATCTGGGCCTTCCCCCAAGAGGGAAGCTGGCTTGGGAGCAGTGACCCCCTGAGCTGTGTCTCAGAGGATGACTGAGTTACCAGGTGTAGCAAGGGTGTGAGGTGAGTGCTGGAGGTGGGGGTGGGGATGGTCCCCCAGGAAGGGCACAGGCAGGAAGAACATCAGCTCAAGAACCCAGCACAGAGCCTGTGGTGGAAATCAGCAGAGGAGAGAGGTGGGGGGATGGCAGGTGCCAGGCCCGGGGAAGAGGCTCCGAGGCCATGGGAAGGAGATTGAGTTTCACGAAGGGCAGAAGATGCTGCGGGGGTGGGGACAAAGGAGGGTCCCAGTGAGAATTCAGATTTTGTTTCAGGAGCATGGGGTTAGGGGAGTAGAGCTAGGATGTGTCCCAGTGACATGACAGGAGAGGGAGATAAAATCACCAGAATGTAGAAATGATAGAAAGTTTGAGAAGTCTTGGGGCCGATGGCCATAAGAACAATTCATATTTATTGAGCATGGGGTACCCTATTCTGAGCATGTCCAAATATCAACTCCGAATATCAAATTTCATCTTTCTAATAACCTGGTGTTATTCTTCCCATTTTAGAGATGGGGAAATGAGACACAGAATGTTAGTCACTTTCCCAGCGTTGCACGATTAGCAAATGAAGGGATCAAGGTTGAGGCCTCAAGCGTAGAGTCCCAGAGGCTCTGCTCTGCATCTCCTGGAATATCTGAGGCTGTGCCAGGCCCCATCCTAAGCATGTTCGTGTGTTAACTCTGCAGCCCCCCAACACCCTAGAAGTAGGTACTGATATCTTCACTCCATTTCTAACGAGCGACTTCACATCCAGAGAATTTCAGTGGTTGCCCGCGCGGCTGTGAGTGCAAGGGCTGGGATGTCGACCAGGACAGCCAGGCAACTCCTGT